TTTGAGTTCCTGGAAGGCTTTCTCAGCCTGTGCGTTCCAGGTGATCTTTTTGAGTGTTCCTTCAACAGTGACATCAGAGGAGCTGCGATGCTACTGAAGTTTCTAATGAAACAAATAAAAGTTGAAATAAAAGTTGGCGAAACCCAAAAATCTTTGGAGTTATTTTACCGTATTGGGTGTGGGCACTGAACTACTGCATCGACTTTATGATCATCCATTATAACCCCTTGCTGACTTATGATACACCCCAAGAATGATACCGATTGTAAATGGAATTCGCATTTTTCGCCTTTTAAAAACAAATTATTGTCCAGAAGGCGCTGAAGAACTGAGCGGACATGTATGACATGACTCTCAAAGTTGGGGGAATACACAAGAATATCATCGAGGTACGCGATAACGTACTGTCCCAGCATGTCTCTCAGTACATAATGAATGCTTGGAACACTGAGGGGGCGATGGAGAGTCCGAATGGCATCACTTGATATTCGTAGTGGCCCCTGGTGGTCACAAAGGCAGTCTTCCACTCATCTCCCTCTTTTATCCTTATAAGATTATATGCACTGCGCAGATCTAGTTTGGAGAAAAACCTGGCCACTTGGAGTTGTTCTAATGCTATCGGAACCAAAGGAAGTGGATAGGGGTAGGGCTTAGAAATCTGATTAAGGGCTCTGTAGTCGATGCAAGGGCGGAGCCCACCATCTTTCTTTTTAATAAAGAAAAAACTAGAGGCAATAGGGGAAGTAGAGGGTCGAATAAACCCTTGGTCAAGGGCTTCCTGAATATACACGTCGAGAGCCTTCTGCTCTTCTTGGGTCAAAGGGTAGACGCGGGATTTTGGGAAAACAGGATCTTCTATCAGTTCAATTGCACAATCATAGGGTCTATGAGGGGGTAGCTCAGTAGCTTTCTGTTTGTTAAATACCTCTTTAAGGTCTAAATACTCAGGGGGAATGACAAAGGAGTCATCTGCGTTGGGGCTTTCAATTGAGGTGGACAAAACAGACAGAGAAGGGGGTGTCATGCAGGAGTGTTTACAGTAATCTGACCATTTAGTAATGGTGTGTTCAAGCCATGAAATTGTCGGATTATGCTTCTCTAACCACGGGAGACCTAGTATTACTTCGAATTCGGATTGTTCTAAAACCAGGAAGGATAAGGTCTCCTTATGGAGGGCACTTGTCTGCACTTGAAGAGGTGTGGTGACCTGGGAGACGTAGCCGACGCCCACTGGTCCTCCGTCTAAAGCGGCGACTTTAAGTGCGTTCTGGAGCCTCTCCACCGGAATCTTCATCTGCTCCACCAGTTTAGCGTTAATAAAATTTCCTTCTGCCCCAGAATCGATCAACGCTGCAACAACAAGAGATTCGGGATGACGTAAACGTAAACTCCACGTGCTGTCCAGGGGTCAGCGCCTTGCTTTGTTGTGGTCTGGCTCAACACTCGCGTACTTGATGTCCCGCCTTCCCACAGTACAAGCAGAGGTGATTGGTCAATCGGCGCATTCTTTCCTCTTGTGACAGCCTGTATGAATCACACCACATAGGCTCAGTCGATTCTACAGTCTCTGGCGTGAGGCGGAGTCGAGAGATCGGTCTTCGGCTGGTTCTCTCTCCTTTAAGCTTAACATGGTGGTGCAGGAGATGGTCTAACTTTATAGCTAGGGTGATTAGTTGATCGAGAGTTAAATCATCGTCTTTACTGGCTAGCTCACTCAAAATCTCAGCGTTCAGTCCCTGGCGAAAAGTTACCAATAGAGCTGCCTCATTCCATCCACTGCTTGCTGCGAGAGTGTGAAATTCAAGGGAGTATTCCACCACTGACCGATTTCCTTGACATAACTTTGATAGCAATTCTCCGCATATCTTACCCTTGCATGGGTGATCAAACACAGTTTTAAATTCTTTAATGAACTGAGCATACGACAGGCGGTGTATCTGGCTCCAGCTGGCAGTGGTCCATTCAAGAGCTTTATCAGCTAATCTTGACACAATAAACGAAATCTTAGCCGGATCAGAACTAGGTGGTGAATTGGCAAAATAAACAGAACATTGAAGTAAAAAGCCTCGACATTTATCTGGGTCTCCACCGAATTTATCGGGCTTACTAACCAGAAATACGGCCCTGGTAGTGTCCTCAGTAGTGGTTAACAGTCCAGCGTTAGTTGCTGCTTCCGTGAGGTTCATGGCTTGTATTTGCCCAGTCAAGCCCTTTACACTCGCAACCAACTGGGCAAACATCGCCTGCTGTTCAGCTTGTTGATGAGCAAGTGACTCAAGGGATTGAGTCACTCCAGACAGAACATGCTGGTGCCGACCGAGTAGCTGTCCTTGTTCGCTCAGAGCCTTTTGAAAGGCTTCCGAATCTGCCGTCTGCATGAGGGGGGAGGTATTCTGTAACCAATCAGCAGTATCCAGATGCGTGCGGATTAAAGGAGTGAAAAAGGTTTTATTATCGCTAGGCAGGCTCATTGTCAATACACAGGCAGGGGTCAAAACCAAAAAGCGGAGTAGGATCACAATGGTGATCATAACACCAGGCAAACAGAACCAAAGGGACAAGGCAAAACACGTGGTCGAAAAAACAGGCAAGCAAGTTCCAAAAACACAGATCAAAAAGACAGGGCAACAGTACAAAAGGGGCAGGCATAAGACAAATCAAAGAACAAAGCAAAGGTCGGATAATCAGAAACACACATATAGAAATAAATGTTCAGTAAGTTTGCTGGGAAACAATACCTCACACTGATTCTACCTACAGCCCGGGCTTAAATACTAAGCTAAACAGATCACATGATAAAGCACAGGTGAAACAGGTCAATACTCAGGAGATTGTTTACAGGTGCATGAGACATTGTCCGAAGTCACGTGATCTCCCAGAGTATTCTGGGAAATGGAGTCCGACACTCCCTGAGTGTTCGTTACATGCATGACAGTAGTGATATGCAAATCATGTAAACCATATTAGGAAAATACTACAAAGACAACATATTAATGTTGAAACTGAGAAATTTTATTGTTTTTTGAAAATGATATGCCCATTTTGAATTTAATGCCAACAACACATTTCAAAAAAAGTTGGGACCGGGCATGTTTACCACTCTGTTTCATCACTTCTTCTTTGTAAGCGCTTGGGAACTAAGGAGACCAACTGCTGTAGTTTTGAAAGTGAAATGTTTTCCCATTCTTGTTTAATATAGGATTTCAGCTGCTCAACAGTTCGGGGTTTGCCGTATTTTTCATTTAATAATGTGCCCAATGTTTTCAGTGGGTGAGAGGTCTGGACTGCAGGCAGGCCAGTTTAGCACCTGTACTCTTTTACTATGGAGCCATGCTGTTGTAATACATGTAGAATGTGGTTTGGCATTGTCTTGCTGAGATAATCAAGGCCTTTCCTGAAAAAGACGTCATCTGGATGGCAGCATATGTTGTCAAAATATGTATATATCATTCAGCATTAATGGTGCCTTCACAGATGTGCCAGTCACCCATGCCATGTGCCCTAATGCATCCTATACCATCATGAATACTGGCTTTTGAACTGTGCACTAATAACAAGCTGAGTGGTCTTTAGCCTGGAGGACACAGCACCCATGATTTCCAAAACAAATGTCAAATGTTGATTTGTCGGACCACAGGACACTTTTTCACTTCACCTCAGTCCATTTTAAATGAGCTTGGGCCCAGAGAAGGTGGCAGTGTTTCTGGATTCTGTTTATATCTGGTTTCTTCTTGGCGTTTTTGAGTTTTCACTTGCATTTTTGGATGCGGCGACGAACTGTTTTCACAGACAGTGGTTTTCAGAAGTGTTCCTGAGCCCATGCAGTGATTTCCACTATGGAATCATGTCTGTTTTTATGCAGTGCTGTCTGAGGGCCCAAAGATCATGGCCAGCAAATACTGATTTTTGGCCTTGTCCCTTGTGTACAGAGATTTCTCTGAATTCTCTGAGTCTTTTCATGTTATTGTGTACTGTAGATGTTGAAAAGCAAAAGTTCTTTGCTATTTTGTGTTGAGAAACATTATTCTTGAATTGTTGCACTATTTGATTGTACAGTCTTTCACATCTTTACTTCTGAACAACTCAGCCTCTCTGGGCTGCTTTTCTATACCCAATCATGTTACTGACCTGTTGCCAGTTAACCACCACATGTTTTTTGTAGCATTACACAACTTTACCCGCCTTTTGTTGCTCCTGTCCCAACCTTTTTGGAACGTGCTGTTGGTATCAAATTCAAAATGGGCAAACATTTTTCAAAAAACAATCAAATTTGTCAGTTTCAACATTTGATATGTTGTCTGTGTACTATTTTCAATGAATTATAGGGTTTTAAATGATCTGCACATCATTGCATTTTCTTTTTATTTATATTTTGCACAGCATCCCAACTTTTTTGGAAATGGGGGTTGTGCTAATAACTATCAATAGTCATGCTGTGCTATAATTGCAATACATACAAGTCATGCTATACAGCAAGATAATGTCACTGTGTCCACACACCACCATCAGTGCAGGGTACACCACTCCCTCTAGTGCCTCATTGCATATATAACGGGGTGCTTTACCCAAATGCATGCATCTTTGTCTACAAATAGTAAGCTTTGGCTTTGGATGACTACTGAAGAAGATATGGGTATAGAAAAAGAATGACTTCCAGAGAGCAAACTGAGAGTCTGCTCCATGGTGAGGTAGGTGAAGACAGTGAATAATACAGCTAATACAACACACTTTTCAAAACATATATGATGTAAGTTAAAGAAGCTTCAGAGTGAACATATAAAAGCTTTGTGCAGTAAAGTGGCTACAATAACAAGGCTGAAATTAATGTATTAAAGGGGAATTCCAACAAACCTTCAAATTTTCTGCATAATTGAAAGGTTATGATGTAAACAAAGCCATTCATAGTGGTTTGATGTGAAGTGCTCCATTCTAGTGAAATTTACTGACTCAGATTTGGTGAAAGGAACTAAGTTCTACCAGAAAGACTCCAGAAATGTACGTGAAGGAAGGAAAATAGTTTAATCTAATAGTATTTAACAATTCCAAAGATAACAAAATTTTGTAAGTTAAAGTCCTTGGCGCAGGCCCCGTCATCAGCTCAGGTATTTCGACGTGTAGAGCTTCGCAGATCCTGCCGTACAGGGACAGCAGGGGGCGGAGCATACCCCCTGGGCAGCCGAGGGGGGACCAACTGGTTGCGACAGGGAGGAAGGAGGGGAACAACAAAACGTCAGCATCTGAAAGCAGCAAAGCAGGAGTGTAAGTCAAGTCATTTTAAAGACAGGTGGAAGCTTGTGATTGGTCACATGAGTAATGAGTGACATAGCATTGGAGTCTCCCTGGCAGAACTTGTGCTAAAGCTTTCGTTTCTACCAGAAAGACTCCAGAGACAAATGTGAAGGAAGGAAAATAGTTTAATCTAATAGTATTTAACAATTCCAAAGAGAACAAAATTTTGTAAGTTAAAGTCCTTGGCACGGGCCCATAATCAGCCCAGGTACTTCAATGTGTAGAGCTTCGCAGATCCTGCCATACAGGGACAGCAGGGGGCGAAGCATACCCCAAAAGATTGTAAGAGATAATGGATACCCACCGGGAAAGGCTTTACCTGGATTGACTAGTCTGAAAAGGAACATAAGAGATATTATTAGCAAAATGCATCAGTATATATCCAATAAAAGTAAAGATTGTGGGTATTAGTAATAAGTGCAATTAAAGTACTGATTAAGTGTACTAAGTGCTTTTAATTATTGCATATGCTAAGATGGAGTGATAAGTGAATGGGCTCATCGTTCTAAATACCATTGTGGTGGTGTAATAAGTGACTGAACTTAGTTGTTCTAACGCATAGGTCATCTGGAGTACTTAAGGCGGCTTTAAGCTTAAAGTTTTCGTCAGGTTAAAAGAAAACTCAAGTTTTAGAGGCCGAGGCCTCGACGCTGCAAATTGTTAGCAGAGACCAACAAATTCATGCTTACATTACGTAAGGAGTACTGCTGTATTTATTATGTAAACATTAGATACAAGGGCTGCTATACATGCACTATGTTCGCTGGGCGACGGGCCCACACATGCACTATGTTCGCTGGACAATGGGCCCACACATGCACTATGTTCGCTGGGCGATGGGCCCACACATGCAGTATGTTCGCTGGGTGACGGGCCCACACATGCAGTATGTTTGCTGGGTGACAGGCCCACACATGCACTATGTTCACTGGGCGATGGGCCCACACATGCAGTATGTTTGCTGGGCGACGTGCCCTCACATGCATAGCGTTCGTTAGGGCAACGCGCCCTCACATGCATGTTTTTGCTTGGCCGACAGGCCTGTACATGCATAGCTTTCATTGGGGCGACGTGCCCTGACATTAATTGCTGCATTTTGCACAGGTTACGAGCCAAAATAAGCATAGCATTTTGCTGAGGTTACGAGCCCATGTGGCGTTTGCTCAGGTGACTGGTCCATATATGCAAGAGTTTGTTGAGATGATGGCCCATTCATGTATTGAGATTGCATAGCATTTGCTCAGCAATGGGCTTATATAGGCATGCAATGCCTTGGCAGATAAGCTCATAAATGCAGAACAAAAGCACCGATTGCCATAGATTAAAATGTACAACATTAGAGGTATTGCTAAGCAAAAATTCTGCAGTGTTCATTCAATTGCAAAGGTCAGTAGCCGCCACCAGTAGTTGCAAGAAATATAATATACCTTGATAGATTTTGAGAGAGCCAACTGAGCATCCATGATGAGTTGTGCATCTGGCCTTATGTAGGATTCATAGGCAGATGAGGACCATCTCCCAAGCAGCTTGATTGAATTGATGGGTAGACCAAGTTTAGCTGCAGTTGTAGCTGCTCCTATTCTAAAAGAATGTAGTGAGTTGGGGACAGTCCACATTTTGAAATGACAAAGGCTAGATGTTCCCTGAACCATAGTGCAGTCATAGGAAGGCCGTTTGATAATATAAACAGAGGTGAGTTGAGAGTAGGTGGGCGTAGTTTCAGATAACGGGTCATAGAGGAATAGGGACAGAAGGAGGTGTTTAGTCTACAGATTGTAATACAAACACCAGCTTCAGAGAAGTCTGTCTTAGAGTGTTTAAGGAAGATAGTAAAGAAGTGAGGCGAGAAACGTATATCAGACAATGTGAGACCTTGTGTGGGATCGAATGACTGAGTGTTAGAAGTGAATTCCCCTGGATGCATGAAACCATAAAAAGCCATGAGAAAAACAGCCTCAAGTACAGTGTTGATGAAAGGTGTAAAAAGACCTTCGCGTAGAGCAGAGATAAGCATCTGCAGTATTTCAGGAGTTATGGGCAAACGTTTATCTGAAACTTGCAGTGTAGATTTATATAAACCTTTAAGAAGCAAGCAGATAGCTGGGTTGGAGAATAAACTAGGATAGTCGGGGTCATTACATCTAGCATGGAATTGGATACCTGCTAACATTCTGCAAATTGAAGTGGCTTTAAGATTGCAAGTCTGATAATTATGAACAATGAATGTGCAAACTGTTGTCGTGAGTATGGGAAAAACCGGAATTTGTAGTGAAAGACAGAACAGAACAAACCAAGACCATGCGGAGTTATACGCTTTAAGAGTGGAAGGGCTAAGCCTTTTGACATGTAATATTTGGCTGAATCTAGCAAGGCGTTATAATAGTTATTTAGTCCAAAATAACTTCTAAAAGAAGGAGATGCCATTCCATTGCTCGAGGAGCCGAGACCAGAACCGCAGATCGGACCAGCAGCCATCGTCAAGGGCAACGGCATCAGGCAAATCAACCACGGAGTGAGCAAGACGGTGCAAACGAGAAATAAAAGAATGACCCTGAGGAATGACGCGAATAGCAAAGTTGAGATGACCTAGAAGAGAGAGAACGTCACGCTGAAATTGATCTAATCCTAGCAAGCTTATCTGCGGGGAGAGACGCACGCATTTCAACAGAATCCAAAATGATGCAGAGAAATTCGAGATTGGTGGAAGGACCAACGGTCTTTTCAGCAGCGAGAGGAACGCCCAATTCGCAAAAAAAACGCCCTTGAGGATATCTAGCGCGGTAACAACGAGAAGATACCACACCAGGTTCATCTAACGCAGACTGGAGGTTCCGAGATACGTAGGAAGAGGACAGTGGAGAGAGGACACCAACCCTAAACCCCTGCGAGAGCCCCGTGAGCAAATAATAAACAAAACATCAGTCAGGGTGAGAAGAAAGAAAGGAGGACGGAGTAGACACGTCAACAATGGCCACTCAAAATTTCTTTGAAGGAGGGCCCTTCCCCCGTTCAGCCGAACAAAAGCGACGAGGACAAACAGACTTCGGGTGGGGCTCCTTGCAAAAGCTACAAACATGCAAAAACTTGCAATGAGGAAAAGAGCATACAGATTCATTAAAATTATTGCATAAAACGTCCCCATTAAAATCAATAAGGGGGCGGCCCAGCCTATCGCGGGGAGCACTTACATTTTCAGCACCACAGACAGTGGGCGCAGCCGCAACAGCGTAGGCCCTAGGGCAGAGGGCAGAAGAGAGACCGTGAGAGCCACACACGGCGCAAGCAAGCGCACGGTGGCTGCCGAAGTAGCAAACCAGAAGTTCGGTGTCCGTGACGGACCAGTCCAGCCTGGATTTATGAAGGGAAATACACGAGGCTGCTTTATCCGAAAAAGCCTTGTGATATTCATAAAAAAGCGTGCCGCCATAACGCTGGCTAAAGTCCACCGTCATAGATGAATACTGGTCCAGCTCTTCCCTACAGTCAGGATAGACCTGACACAAAACGTCCCTATAGACTCCGAAGCAACAACAAACTCCCCAAAAGAGAGGTTGCGCTGAAGCCGAGGATCGGATGTTTTCAGAAAAACGGAAACATCACCACAATCAACCATTTGCCGATCGACAGCCGGAGAGGGGAGAAGCAGAGAGGCCAGATTAATGTCCTTACCCTGAAGGATATCAGACCGCAAGCGAGACGAAACTGCCACAGCAGCAGGGGAATGAAGGGCCTGCCCAAGGCCTGCGCAGGCACAGCGGTGGACAGACTGAAGGGATGCTGGGAGAAGACAGCAGAGGCACGAGGGTGCGTGGCAGCCGGAGCTGCAGAGGGAGCAGAAGTCAGGACGCCCGCAGCAGAGGTGGAGGGGCCGGGTAGATCCGAAGTCGAAAGCAGACCACTCCCGGAGGCTGAGATGCCGCTCGATGGCCACCAACCAAGACTCAAGGCCGCGAACAGAGTCCGTGAGATCCTGAATCACACAAACCAGGTGGAGATCCAGGGCAGATGGAGCCAGAGGGACCGGAGGCGGGGAGTGAGGAGAGCAGGGGGGCAGAGGAGCAGGAGAGCCGCAGATCCTCTTCGCCTGGCGAGGAGAGGAAGACTTGGCCGAACACTCCCTTATGGCTTTCGCGGGGTGAGCAGGGGCCGTGGAAACAACGGGGGCAACGTCATCAAACAGAATGGGAGGGCAGCCCAAAGTAGAAGCAGCCAGCAGGAGGAGATCATCCCTCGACAAACTGCTCGTGACAGGAATGCCGTGATCACCCAGCAGCTCCAATATCTTCTCTGACGACCAAGGAGACCAGGGAGATTCCCGGGCGTGAATGTGAGCACTCCTGCGCGTAGACGTCGGCAGAGACGGGGGAACAAGTTCACCGTCTGAGTCAGAAACATGTAAACTCTGAAATTTGGAGTGAGACATGTCGGCTACAAGATCTGAACAACGAAACATCAGCATCTGAAAGCAGCAAAGCAGGTGTTTAAGTCAAGTCATTTTAAAGACAGGTGGAAGCTTGTGATTGGTCAGAGTAATGAGTGACGTAGCACTGGAGTCTCCCTGGCAGAACTTGCACTAAAGCTTTTATATCACAATGCCTACATGCACAAATACAGCCACTTTATTTTCTGTCCTAAACATTCAATCTCAATCTCACTCCCAATAAGCCAACACTGCAAACTTCTCTCAGTTAGCTTGCAATAAATTACACTGTCCAATGCATATTATGTGCAATATAGCCTATATTATGTGATCAACAACATTTTATTTGATTATGTAATCGACGCTCAGTAAGCAGACGCTTGCAGTTATAAAATACAAAAGAAGCTTTACTTGTGGGGTCAGGAATGAGTAACGTCGTCAGAAAACAGGCATAGGTCAGTTCCCAAATACACTGTAGATGAAGAAGGGCTACCATAACCAACAAGGGGAAAACAGAGCGAAGTCCAGAAAACAGGCGATGAGTCAAAACCATATATCCAATAAACGAGGCAAAAGTACACAAGAGCAAATCCAAAAACAGAGTCAGAGAAAAACGGTAAGCAGAAGGTCGTACACAGGATATATATCAACAGGAAGAACGCTCAGTAGTTTCACAATGGAAAGCAATACCTCGCAGTGAACCTAGATATAGCCCGGGCTAATATACTAGCTATCTAGTCATATGACGGCTAATAACTCTCTATCCCCAATGCCATAATTTCTTTCTGCTGGTGATAACTTGTGGGAATAAAAAGCTACTGGATGCAATTTTTGAGGTGAGCCTGTTCTCTGCAATAACACAGCGCCCACACCAGTCTCTGAAGCATCCACTTCTACCACAAACGGTTGTGTCGGATCGGGGTGTTTAAGAATTGGAGCCGTAAGGAAGGCTTCTTTGAGCCATTGAAAAGCCACGGTCCAGCGGATCTTCTTTGGAGACCCTTTGAGTAGGGATACAAGTGGGGCTGCCATAGTGCTGAAATTCCTAATGAACCTTCTGTAGAAGTTGGTGAATCCTAAAAATCGTTGCAGCTCTTTGACTGAAGTGTGAACGGGCCAATCAACTACTGCATTGACCTTGTGATCATCCATGATCACACCTTGACTGCTGACTACATATCCTAGGAAATCTACAGATTCCAGGTTAAACTCACACTTCTCTCCTTTAACATACAGATTGTCCAATAATCTCTTTAACACAGCCCGTACATGTTGCACATGAGTGTCCTTGTCTGAGGAGTAAATCAAAATGTTGTCCAGGTAAGCTATTACAAAGTTCCCTAACATGTCCCGCAGTACCTCATTGATGAATGTGTGGAACACAGAGGGCACTATAGAGAGCCCGAATGGCATCACTAGGTATTCATAGTGCCCCCTAGTGGTCATGAAGGCCGTCTTCCACTCGTCTCCCTCACTGAAACGGATCAAATTGTAGGCAATTCTGAGGTCCAATTTGGTGAAAATCCTGGCCCCTTTTAACTAGGACACAGGAACCAGAGGAAGAGGATAGGGATAAGGTTTAGTGATCTGATTAAGGGCTCTATAATCGATACAAGGGTGAGGTCCTCCATCTTTTTTCTTCATAAAGAAAAAACTAGAAGAAATTGGGGATGTGGATGGTCTAATAAATTCTTGTTCTAAAGCCTCCTGAATGTATATATCTAAGGCTTTCTGTTCTTCCTGGGTCAAGGAATAAACTCGGGCCTTGGGGAAAGTATGGTTCTCTATCAAGTCTATAGCACAGCGATATGGTCTATGTGGTGGTAACTTGGTTGCGTTAGTTTTATTGAAAACTTCTCTTAGGTCGTGATACTCAGGTGGGATTTGAACATGGGCTTTCTAAAGAGGTGGACAAAACGGAGAGTGACGGAGGAGTTATACAGTTGAGTAAGCAGTTGTCCGACCATTTGATGATAGTGTGTTCAGACCAGGAAATCGAAGGGTTATGTCTCTCAAGCAATGGAAGATCAGTTCAAACTCAGAGTGATCCAACACTAAAAAAGACAAAGTTTCTTGATAAACGGCGCTGGCTTGTACAACGATGGGCTTGGTGATCTTGGAAATGGTCCCGACTCCAACGGGTCCTCTGTCCAGTGCTGCCACGTTCAACATGTTCGGAAGTCTCTCTACGGGAATCTTGAGCTGTTCCACGATCCTGGCATGGATGAAATTCCCCTCAGCTCCTGAATCTAGGAGGGCTGAAACAAACAGAGAATCGGGATGACAGTAGATACTGA